GGATCCCAGCTAAGCACTAGGGCACTGATCACCCCAATAAGATGCCTGAAGAGCCTTTGCTGGACAGGCAGGGGTCAGTCGGGAGAAGAGGGATCACCAGAGCGGGCCCTTGTGTTGCTGAGCTGCCATCATGCACCAACTCTCCTTCAGGGCTTTTATTTATTTACCTTTCATTCTAGTGTTTTTCCTCTTCAGTCTTTGGACGAGCAGTGACTGCTGTCTCAGCAATCCTATCTCTGTTTGCAGTTTTGCCTTTCTTATCTTGTGAGGTTTTACTCCATGGACTTTCCCACAGCTTTCTCGCAGCTCAGCGGCTTCCTCGGCAGCCTGAGCCAAGGTTGCACAGCTGGGCTCTGTTGGACCTGGGACTGGGATCCTCTAGGTGGGGGGATTTTGCAGAGAGGATCAAAAATATTACTTGCAGGTTGCCTCTTCAGTGGTGGCTCTAGTGCTTTTTGGCCGAGGTGGATCTCAATGGAAAATGTTGCAGTAGATGTGTGCATGCAAATGTAAAGCGCAGCTGAGGATAAAGAGAACAATATAGTTCAAAAGAAGAACAGTATGTAGGTTGTACATTATCAAGATATAACTATGCATTCTCTTCTTGTTAGTATTATCTTGGAAAAATAAACTAAAGATGCCTGTTTCCTTGTGGGGCACCTTCTGGCTTTCTCCTGCTGGTTTGTGGTGGCAGGAAGGTTTGCATGGCACAGTACTCAGTGTGACATGATGCAAATCACTGCTGCGAGCTAGGGACAGCAGGTAAAAATCCAGGAGGGCATCTCTGGAACGCATGTAAGCACTTGTGTCTCAAAACAAAAACACAGCCTCTACGGAAACGTGTTGCATCACTGGCTGCAGCACCCGCTTATACAACAAGCTGTTGTGTTGTGGCGGCATAAAACTGGGGAGGCTGGAGAACGCCGAGAAGGACAGAAAAGTTCTAGTGAGGCTTTGCTAAATGCCCGGGGGGACGGATGCCACCTTCCCTAGGGTTGGCCTGTCCCTTTGCTGCACAGATGGACAGATATGGGGCAGGCTTTACCTGCTTCCCATAGGGACGGCCTCTCCTTCCGTGCGCAGAAACCAGCCGCGTGGTGGGAGTTGCTCTTTAGGGCCTGGCCCCTCAACTGCCAAAATCCCAGTCTTTTCATTAGCCCTCCTCGTGCACCGTGGTCCACCCCCTCCGCAGGAGTGCTCAGATCCCTCTTCTGACCTTTTCCTGCTATCCTCTTTCTTCCCAATCTCGCCCTGCAGGACCTCTTGTCCCATTTGCAGCGTGGTGGCCCAAATGTTTCCACGTGGCATCAGGACAGTGTGCGAGTAGGGCTGTGTGGCGTTCATCTGTATGCGCCCCGCTCTACCAAAAGTCAAGTCCGAGTGTGGGCTAGTCATCCAGAGCTCTGGGTATCTGCAGATGAATAATTTCTGGGATAACTTTGGGATATATGTGGTTGGGCTTTCTTTGGAGTTGCCCCTTTCTGCCCATGGAGAAGGGCATGAAAAATCAAGGGTGACAAAAACCTGCTTAGGCTTCTAACTTTTATTGCTCTAAAGCTAGATGAGTCCCTCCTGGGCCTCGTCCTTGTCCAAAGTGAGGTTCTTTCAGTGAAGTTCATCTAACCAAGCACAAACAAGACACGTGTTACTTGTTTGGTGTAGCTGATAACCATGATTAGTGCTGCATGGTCCTCCTCCTGGCTGAGTCAGGCTAAGTCAGCAATGCTCTGATCACTGCCTTGTTTTCATTTCTCTTGCTTGTTGTAGCACACAGGCTTTCATACACTTAGACTTCAGTGACTGACCCGTGGAGCCTCTTTTTGTCAATAACCTGGATTCAAATCTTGTCATTTTACTGATAGGCAAGTCCTCTGGGAAGGTCCTCCTTTAAACCTGCAGGTGGGCTAGTGGCAACGTTGTTCATTAAGGCTCTGCCCAGAGTCTCTTCTGGTGATGTGAGCTTTCTGATTTACTCTTGTCAGGCAGGGTTTCCTGCATAAGGCTTGTTTCTTTTGGACTGATGAAATTTTCTTGAGATAGAGATTGGTCTGATTCCTGAACCTTCATAACATGAAGGCAAACAAGACTCCATTTTTTTCTTGTTCACATTTCTTTTAATTTTCATAACTGTTTTACCTCTGAAATGTTTTAACGCCCCTCCATACCAATCCTTAAAATACACCTTGCTTTTTGTTACTGTTCATTGCACTTTTGTTTAACCCAAAGCACAAAAGCAATAAAGTTTAAAGATCTACTTGGTTTTTTGATACCACATCATGATGATTTCTGAACTCTCAAGTCCTTGTAAGACTCCATAGCACCTACATGAAATAATTTGCACTCTGATGTCCAAGTAAAACCATGGTTATCTAGATTTTCCTTAGAAATTATTTAGAACCATGTGCATCTGTAAGTTTGCATAATGAAATATTTTGTACTCCTTCTATGTGTATATTTTTTAAAAAGTATTGTAGGAATGACTGATCTTAAAAGTCTAGGTGAGTCACTGATATGGAGGTGACCCAGCACAGGTTCTGAGGCTTATTTAAAATTTTGATTTTGTAACTTGCAAAGTAAAACCCATAAAGGTAAACCTGGAGGATTATATTCAATTTGCATTCCAGTCGTTTTGATAGAAATGCTATATTTTCATTCATTTAGAAAAATAGGTGGTAAGAAATCAAACTTCCTTTTTTTCACTAATTATGCCAAAATCTACTAGAGTATTTGTCAGGATGGGGAGCTTTCCTTAGGAACCTATTTTAATAAAATGCTTTACCTGTCCTGATCAGAGATATCTAACTATAGCCCTGGACTTCTAATTATGGTACATTGTGGGGATGAGACTGAGGGCGAGACTGGGTTTGTTGTTGTTGTTCAGTAATGTTGGTTTTTGGCATCTTTTTGGGTGCCTGATGAGATTACTCTGCTGGGACTTTAAACTTCAGATACCCAAGCATCAAACATAGTGTTGCTAAAGATCTCTTGCAAAGGGCAGATGAAAGTCAGTAGAGCTCTGAAGACCATGAGGGGAAAGCAAAAATTGGCTCTTGACTGAGGTCAGAGCAGTCCATACAACTTGCAAACTGCGGAGTACCTGCACCCCCCTGTAACCTCCATACCGAGCTTGCTCAAGTTGCAGGTCACCTTAGCACTGTTGTTATACCTGCATGTTGCATGGCTCTATAATTGCAGGTCACCTTAGCACTGTTATTATACCTGCATGTTGGACTGTTATTATACCTGCATGTTGCATGGCTCTATCCAAACTCACACTCTCACCCTTGCCTCCAGCCAACCTTTATCGGCTACCCCATCAGCATCTTCTTCATCGTCATCAATGAGTTCTGCGAGCGGTTCTCCTACTATGGCATGCGAGGTACGTCCCACCCCTTGCCTCTACTGTTGGTCACCCAGCCCTGATTCTGCCTCCTAACCTGATGTTGTCTCCCCCATCCTGAACCTGATGTTGTCTCCTCCATCCTGCAGCTGTGCTCGTTTTGTATTTCAAATACTTCCTGCACTGGGATGACAACTTGTCTACAGCCATCTACCACACATTCGTGGCTCTGTGCTACTTGACACCGATCCTTGGAGCGCTCATTGCAGACTCTTGGCTGGGGAAGTTTAAGTGAGTGCTTACTCAGGGAAGTAAAAATAAATAAAGCAAGAACGGGAAAGTGCAGCCGAGCTCAACAGTACTTGAGCTGTTGCTGTAGGAGAGGATTTGGAACAACCACCTTGAGCTGGTGTTGGCTACTGCAGAATCGGGTGGGCTTTTTTACACTTCCTATTGAGGTTTTAATTGATTTAGCTCAGAACTGAAACTTCACGGCAAGTTAAGAAATATTACAGTTCTGTTAGACAGCTAATTGCATTAGCCTGCTTTCCGGGCAGGCTGTATGTTTTCCTCTCATCTGCACAAAATATCGCTTGTAAGGTATGGAGGAGCTGTGAAAACAAATAGAAGCTGGAGGTTATAATTACATTTGTTTGCATCTTTACCTATCGCAGGTGGTAAATTGGTGAAATAACTGTTCTATGTGGTATTAAAGGAGACTTTTAGAATATATTCTAAAATATTCTGTAATTAATTTCAGTATTGATTTGACAGCTCAGTGGAAAGCTTTACTGAGGTGCAACTGTTTGTTTTAAATGATGTATTCTGAATTTCTTCTCTGTGTGCTGAGAAAAGTAGCGCTGGATGAAGTGCTTTCAAATGTAACAAATTATTTCCAACAGCCTGAGCCCAGTCTCCTTTACTGATGTTGTGCTTCTAATAGTATTTACTTTGCCAGAAAAGGCACTATAAAAAGATTTTTATTGAGGGATATGAGTCAGGAATGTTAGCTGACTTGTCAAAGGTCTCCCAGAGATTAGAGATGAAGCTGGCTCTGAAGTCAAGGTTGGCTACGGGCTGCACGATCATTTCCTGCTGTGTTGACAGACCCTGGGAGACCAGATATGCAATCACTGTCAAGTATGCTCTGTGCAACTGGTCTGATCAGTGCAAGCTCATTGCAAATAGTTTAATATCTTGCAGGTTGTCCTGTTATGTATGAACATGCCTGGATACCAGTTTGTTCACTTGTTTGGATGCCATGCTTTAAAACTGAAAAAAAAAAAAAGAAAAAAAGAAAAATCCAAAATACACTTTTACACCAGTGATTTCAGTATCTCCAATGACGCATTGATGTCTGAAGATGGACCTTTTTTTTTTCTCATATTTGCCTTGGTTAATTAAACAAGACACTCAAATTATTCCTTAAACCAAATAAACATAATAGAAATAGTGTTTTGGCAGAGGTGCACATACAGATTTTTACAGTAGCTCATGAAAAGTTATGAGTCCAGATCTCATGTTTATCCTCCTTTATTAAACCGAACTGTATGTAAATGTTTTGTATCTCCTTCTTTCGTAACAGGACTATTATTTCCCTGTCCATTGTCTATACAATTGGGCAGGCGGTCATGGCTATAAGCTCCATAAATGACCTGACTGATTCCAACCGGGATGGCACTCCGGATCACATTGCAGTGCATGTGTGAGTTGTTTTGTGCATGTGTTGCGTGTGCAAGCAATCTGATGAAGGGAGGGACCTTAAATTTATGCTGCCTGAATTATGGCTGTCTTTAGGAAAACTGTCACCCCTGGTGCTTACGCACCTTTAGAAAGTCTGCCTTAGGCCAACTTGAGTTTATACATTGCGCTTGAATGGTAGTTCAAGAGATGTGTAATCTTGTTCATATGTGTTCTTGATTACTTCTAAAGAGCTTCTTTTCTTTCCTGTTATCCTCCTAAGACATCTCAGTGTGTGAAGAACTTAGGCCATGCTGACTTCACCTGTGTGAAGCAGATTAACAAGCACCAGTTTCTTTCATTTGCTCCCACTGAGTTATGATCCTACAGTCTGCCAGGCCACAGACACTTCCGTGCAGCTCTGTCCTCAGTTCTCTCATTCTGATATCTGTGATTAATTAAATTTGGGTAAATTTTGGTCTTAAAGTGGCAGATCTTTCTTGGCTTTCTCTTATGAGAAATCAGGCTGATGACACCCGCTGCTGTTAACGCTTGTCTGTTGTTGAATGCTTCTGCTATTAGCTTGGGCAGTTCTTTCATCTAAAGAAATTGAGTGTTTTTTTTTTCCTTCTTTGTCCCAGTGTCCTGACTGTTATTGGCCTGATCCTCATTGCGCTTGGTACTGGTGGCATCAAACCTTGTGTGTCAGCATTTGGTGGAGATCAGTTTAACGAAGATCAGGTAACAATGTTTTTCAGATTTTGGTGCTCATTTTTCCATCGTGCATATTTTTATGTTTGATTATTGTTATACTCTAATGATATACATATCTACATATGTACATGGATGCAGTGCTTCCTGAATACCTGAAAAAAGTTAGATAGATAACTGTTTGTATCTGAAACTGCACAAGGTGAATTGCTGGTGACTTGATCTAGACTGATGAACGTGGCTCACGTTAAGCCTTTCTAAAAAGCCTTTTTGTTTTCACTACAGGAAAAACAAAGAACTAGGTTCTTCTCTATCTTTTATTTGTCTATTAATGCTGGAAGTCTTATATCCACTATAGTCACCCCCATTCTGAGAGGTAAGTCTACATACTTGTCTATGAAACGGTAAACAGCAAAGGATGAGTGTTGGGCTACAGTCCTTTATTTCACACAATTACATGGCAAGTTAGTCTTCAAGTTCTCTTGTGTCTCATCCAGCTTCTCTGGAGTGAGATTCTATCAAAAAAGCCAGTTTGAGATGTCATTTGCCTTAGAGGTCTAGTACTTCCACTCCTGAGGAGATGTGCTGAGGCCATGACTCTTCTACCTCTGTGGAATTAAACTTGCTTTAGGCAGAAATATGGCACAAGAAAACTATATGAGACATCTGAAATGATCCTAAAACACTGGAGTAAAATTATGGCCTTTAGGTATTTTGACAGTAGCTGGATGGAACAGGCTATATCAATGTATTTTAGATATTTGCTTCATGCAAATTCTATCCTTCCAGGATATCAGCATAGGCAGCAACATGCTTCCATGTTGATGCAAGATGGAAACCAGCTTGGGAAAATAGTTTGTGCTAACAATTTCAGTAGTGGAAAGTGATAACATTGCTTTCTGTAGGGCTTGAATGATACAACAGAATCAAGACAAATTAATTAGCTGCAAGCTAATATTTTATTCTAATCAGGTTTTGTAACTCTTCTTTTAGAAGGTGTATTGTGAAAAGAGGTAATACATTTTATTTAGTTTATGGTTACTTCTCCCTTTTAGTCACCAAATTTGAGGATCATGAGTCCATACTTCGAGCAGTATTTCAGAATATGTGTGAAGTTTACAAAGACTCATCACAGACCAATGAGGGCGTATTTGAGTGTTATTGAACTATCACACTTGTTCATAAACAGAGGTATAAGTTATGTAACTTGCCCCTGAAACTTTGGGAGTCTAGATCGCTTTTCCTCTGAAAAGTTGCATTTGACCCTTCTAGTAGAATTCTTCTTATTCCTCTAGTAGAATTCTTCTTATTCCTCAATATTCACCTACAAAACCACATAATTCCCTTTCTTAATAATGTAAATAATTTTTTGATGCTATTGATCCATTCTATTCATAATGTCCAAAAATAACGTTTTTTTTTCTTGTAAAGAATGCAGTGAAGTAAAATATGTGAAATAGTGGCCATGCTCACCTGGACTTTTATGTAAGTTTACTTTATGTTCTGCAGGTCAAGAATGTGGCATTCATAGCAAACAGCGATGTTACCCACTAGCCTTTGGAGTTCCTGCTGCCCTCATGGCTGTGTCACTGAGTAAGTTGTACTGTTTCCATTTTACTGCTTCACGGATACAGAAGTGATTAGAAGATAATGATTCAAGAATGAGAAAGTAGTGGAGATCTCTCAGGTATCTGACTCTACCAATACCTGATTTTTTTATCTGCAGTTACTGAGTTGAGAAGTTTTTATTTTATTTTGGGATTAACCTAAATTTCTAGTGCTTTTACAAAAAGTTTTTTTGTTGTTGTTGTTGGTGGTGTTTTTTTTTTTTAAATTGATACCTTGGTGTCACAGGTCATAACTGTATTCCTGGAAAAATAATAGCTGCATACAGCATTTTCCACTCTGTAATTTTCTCAGTTGATGGCAGTTCTCTTAATGATTTTTGCACAAGACTGCAGAATTGATGTGGAGAAAGTGTGACCCAGACCCACCTCCTCCAGCCTGTAATAGCGAAATACAACATTCACTTAGAAACACGGAGGCTGACAGTGGGACCTCCTGGGTACCATGTGGATGTGCTGTAGCATTAACACCTACCGAGAAGTGCCCATGCATGATCTTTGCTTGGATTTGCTGTTGTGCTTGAGAAAGCTACCATACCCTTATTTACTCTGCTTAGGGTGTCCTGGTCTGGGCACAGCTTTTCTTTCTTGCAATGGTTTTGGAAGGACCTCAAGGACACCTAGTTCATCCCCTGCCTAGTTCATCCCCTGCCTTACCCCTGGTCAAGTCTGTCTAGATCTCTGTAAATGCTCACCTAACCTGTGGTGACGGGATGGTCTGTTTGAGGATTCAGTCTTCCCCAGAATTAGAAAGCAAAGGGATTGGCAAAAAGGTGTTGGAAGACAGCACACTGAGCCCATTTAGCTTCTTGGTAAATTCACCCTTGATTTTATTTTGTTTTTGGAGAGGGAGGAGGGGCCATGGATAAACTGTGAACCCCTGTATGTTCTGTAATTGGCTTTAGTATCAATGCTGCCCAGTTGCTTGGACCACTGGACTGTATAAATTAAAGATGTTTTGAAGGCAGTAAAGAAAACTGGGAAAGAGTGGTTTTCAAAATTAACCCATAACCAAGGGTAGAGTAATTGCCCTTGGACTGGTGAAAAGTAATTCATATACCATAACAGTATGTAAGTGCTTAGCATTTTCCTGCATTTTCAGTAGTGCACTTCAAATTCCTCATTGAGCTCTTCAGCTGCAGTACAAAGATGAGGAAAAAAAAACCCAAAACGCGTTGCTGTTAGAAGCAGCCTTTGGGCTTCTCCCAAAGAACGTGGCTGGGTGGCACCACCGTCTGCCTCGTGGTGCCAGCTGGGAGCCCTCCCAGGCCCCTCTCGTGCCCACCAGGCCGGTGGCTGCCGTGGGGGCTGGCCCGTGTCGCGTGCCGCGAGCTCAAGGGTGAGGCCGGTGGTGTGTCCGGATGGAGGAGCTGCAGAAACGTCCCCAATCCTGCTGTTCAGGCCTAGCCCTGCGTGCCCCTGCGTGAGGAGAGCTGCGCTGTCCTGGGCTCCTGAGAAGAAATCCTTAAAGCTGCTCTAACGCAGGGCAGAAGGCCAAAGCTAAGGTCCAAAGTGGGCCGTGTTTGGACCATAACTCAGCTAAACCATCTTGTTTGCTAAAGACAGGCCACTTGCTTACATGGCTCCAGACTTCGTTCTTTTGCTTGAAAAACTAGTAGTAATCTGGTAATATTATTTTGATTTCTTTTATTGCATAATAATATGCCAACAAGCACATTCACCCTTCCTTAGAAAGTTTATTTCCATCCTGAGGCAACCCCTTTATTATGGTTTGCATATGAAAACTTCTGTCATTATTTTCAATTAACCCCAGTTGTTTTCCTCATTGCAGTTGTGTTCATAATTGGAAGCGGAATGTACAAGAAAGTTCAGCCTCAAGGCAATATAATGGTTGAAGTTTCCAAATGCATTGGAGTAAGTAATATTTGTCTTTCTGAAAAGCTTGGCCAGAATTTGCAAGCCTGTTTAGTTATACTCACGGACACCAGAAGTCTGTACTCACTTTCAGAATTTCTGCTGAAGCTTTTTGGCCTTCTCTTATAGCAGACTTCTTACTCACACCTCCAGATCTGTAGATTGCCCTTGTATTAAGCTATATGTTTGTGTATATCATAGCTTATACACAAAGGAAACAAGGCAAGATGTCACAATGATGTTTAAAAAAGCTTCTAGGAATCATTCCTTCCTTGTTTGTGTTCCTTAATGGAGCCCTATAAGAGAATCTTGGGTTGACATGAGTTTAAGCTAAGTTTTAAAAACAGAGCTATTAGTATCTTTTATCATCAAAAATTCATTGCTTAATAGAGAATAGGTTGTTTACAATGCAGAGGTACATTGCCCCCCACTTTGTTAGGGAAGCTAGTGGGGTCACACAGGGGTGCAAGCTTGCAAGGAAGGGAGCTACATCTGCCTGAAAAGTGCTGCATTTCCCCAAGAGTGCCTCTTAATTCTAAGGTCAGGGTATTTTTTGCATTAAATGCACTTCTCCATTCTCCATGCAGATCTCCAGACCATTCCTTATCCTCTAAGCATTGTCAAAAACAAATCTCGAAATGTGATTTTGGCCACTGCTTAGAGCGCTACCCCTAGAGCCCAGTTTTGTTCAGCCTGGAACATCAGGCTTGCAGGTTATTCCATGCAGAAAGTCTGCAAACTCTTCAGAAGGGATGTATTCAGAAGGAACGTATGCATTCAGTTTCAAGGAATGAGGAATTTCTACAAAATGCAGCTTCCAAAATAATGATCCTTGCACCTATCCAGCTCTGACAAATTGCTGACATTCTTCTATTTATTGTTATACATGGAAGTTAGCCTTAAGCTGCCAAGTCTTCAGCAAGTTCCTAAGAGCATCTCATACCGAGAGAGACTATCTCTGAGCTGTTTTATCCTAATTCTACAGTATGAGGTGCATGACACAATATTCCTTTAAGTGCTTAGAGCAGTTGCAGAAGTCAGTCGCCTTGAGCACCCTCCAAGGATAGGAATCTGGTGTGCATTATTCATGCCGACCAAGTGGCTTATGGAATTGCTAATACCTGTGTGTTACAAATACCAACCCTAATGGTATCTCCTCAGTTTGCCATCAAAAATAGGTTTCGGCATCGCAGCAAGGAATTCCCCAAGAGAGAGCACTGGCTAGACTGGGCGAGCGAGAAGTACGATGTGAGTATTACCTGCGAGGGCTCCTGCACCGACATTTCTTAAGCCCCGATTTCTGCTTGCTGTGCTCTGGTCCATGCTCCAAGCTCTAGCTAAATAATTCTTGAGTGTTGTTTCAACTGTCTTGACCATTTAGCAGGTAATGATCTGGCCAAGCATAACTGCTCCCTTGGGTTGCAGGCTGCTATCGTAACTCCAGTGGGGGAAAGCAAACCTATGTAGAAGTCAATACTTGGATTGCTGGCTGCAGGGGGGAATTCAGGAGTTCATAATAAAGAAAAAAAGTTTATTATTTCCCTTGTGGGACAAGTACAGGTACCTATTAGTTTTAGAGTTAGTAAAATGGCAAGTGTTATCTCTGGATTTTTATGGTCTTTATCTCAGCAAACCAGCTTCAGAACAAACTTCAAACAAAAACGTGCTGTTTTAATATGACTGCAGGAGTGAACAACAGGCATGGTGCTGAAGGTCACGGCTAGCCCTTAGGCCATAACACTTGTCTCGGGATCAAACTGCAGAACTGAGCTCAAGCAGCTGGGCTTGAGTGAAAAAACACTGCGTCTCCCTGGCCACAGTACTGAGTTCAGGCTCCTATCATAGAATCACAGAATCCGTCAGGTTGGAAGGGACCTCTAGAGATCATCTAGTCCAACCCCCCTGCACACGCAGGGTCAGCCTGTTCCAAGGCTATCACATTCACTGTCAAGAATTTTTTCCTTAAGTTCCTGTGAAACTTTTGGTGTTTTAGTTTGTGGCCATTTCCTCTAGCCCTGTCGGTGGCCCCCTCTGAAAAGAGGCCGGCCCCATCCTCGTCACTCCCTCCCTTGAGGTACTTATAGACACTGATTAGATCCCCTGTCAAGGGGTTCTCTTCTCCAGGCTGAACAGGCCCAGCTCTCTCAGCCTTTCCTCATAGGGTAGGTGGTCCAGGCCCCTCATCATCCTTGTAGCCCTGCGCTGGACTCTCTCCAGTTAGCTCCACGAAAGAGAGCTTTCCATGGCTCTCTTCATCCCTTGGTCCTCAGGCAGGTCCTGTGCCCTTGTGCCTCATACGTGCTGCGCCCTATCGTCGGCAGCAGCACAAATGCAGCACAAAGCTTTGTCTTCTTTATTTTTCCCTTTTGGCTACATACATGTTTCACATATGAGATATGGCTCATCATTGGCTCCATGGCCCATTGTTCAGATGCCTCCAAAAATGAATTTTGCCAAAATGCATTAATAAAAACAAAGCAGTGCAAGCTGTAGAACTAGATGTCACGCTGCCAGCTGAGCCTATCTGCCAGGAAACACACTTCTCTGTTACGAATGTCGCCTTTCGCCAACAGCCCTTCCTGCACCCACGAGCAGACCTTGGGCTCTTCACATAAGCCAGCACTAGTCCCCCCCGCCCCAAGTTCAGGAAGAAGCAGACAACTGGAGCTCAGATCTTGTGTCTTCACCTGTGGCTGTGCTGCAAGTAGTGTCTGATTGATTCCTTTTGTGATCCCTGCTCGTTACAGAAGCGGCTTATTGCTCAGACTAAGATGGTGCTGAAGGTGCTTTTCCTGTACATTCCTCTCCCCATGTTCTGGGCGCTCTTTGACCAGCAGGTAAATACTTTAGGCCGCTTATAACGCATTATTCTGGGTCAGTGTTAACGCAGAATGTTGCTGCCAAACAAATTTGTGCTACTCACGGCTTTTGAAAGTTCAAATTTGTCTTTAGCATAATTGTTTAACCAAGAAAAAAATAACTTTCATCAAATATGTTATTCAGTGCATGAAAATGGATGGCACAGTATTTTAAAGCTTTTTAAAGTAAACTCAGTATTTTTAAAACTCTTTTTAAGGCTTCTTTTGGCTGCCAAATGTGATATGCTGCTCAGAGTATCAGTGTTTTGAAGAATTAGGGATGTTAAACATCCTTTTCCACTCTTATTTCATAAAATCAGTAAATAAAATGTGCCATAAAAATTGTTTTGTTTAAATGTTTACATGGTAGAGTAAGGGAATACGCCTTCTAGATTTTTTTATTATTTTGCATCTCTTTCCCAACCCTTTCCCTCTGAATTTCCGCTTGAATTGTTTTATAAGTTTTTTATTGTGGCATTTAACTTTCTTTCTTTTGTTAAGGGGTCAAGATGGACACTGCAAGCCACAACCATGGATGGGAATTTTGTAGGTTACTTTTATTGTTTTTCTTAGTAAACATTTACTTTTCATATCAATTTTAGTTGTTGTCATAATACTAAAAGCTATTTATCTTTGTTTTTCATCAGGGAGCTATTCAGATTCAGCCCGACCAAATGCAGGTATAGTAATCTTCTGTCTGATATTAAGTACTCCCCAGGGATACTATGTATATATGTCTTTAACGTGCATTAAAATGTAATATATATATGTATAAATATATGTGTGTGTGTGCACACATGTGTATATATATATATATATATATATAAATTTCTCTTCAAAAAAAAAGGACCTTGAAAAATACTTTTTTTTTCCTCTTATGTTCCATTCACAGACTGTGAATCCAATCCTGATTATTGTCATGGTCCCAGTTGTAGATGCTGTGATTTATCCTTTAATTAAGAAATGCGGGATCAATTTTACGTAAGTTTATGTACTTACCTGATTTCAACAGAGGAGGCACACATTAGTGGTATCTTTACTATACTTAAAAAGAGGGATTTTTTTTTTTTACTTTTTTATTTTTTAGTAAGTTAGACCCTTACTAGGGTCGGTAGGTGTCTTTCAGCTCAGTTTTATTTCTATCCAAACATAGCAATATGGACATAAAAACTTGCTATCCTTTTGTATAGGACATCCTTTTTATTGTCTTGAGGCTAACAACCATACTGGTTTGTTTGCAAATAGGCAAACCCAGTAATAATTCTGTTTAGACAATGGTTAACCTTAGGAGGGAGCCCAGCAAATGCTAGTTAACAGGTTACAATGTTGCAGGCAATTCAGATTTCCCAAGAGTTTAACATGAATTAACAGCGAGAGCTACTAGCCTTGCAAAATACCTTCTGTAACAGCATCAGGCCTTCCGATGGTGATAGCGTTAGCTTTGGTCAGGTTAAGGTTAAGGAAAACTCAAGAGGTGAAGCTCTGAATTAATATTTGTCCTGAAACTGGTGTGTGCTTCATTGCTGTGCTAGGCCGCTGCGGAAGATCACTGTTGGCATGTTCCTTGCATCTCTGGCTTTTGTTGCTGCCACCCTTGTGCAAGTGCAAATAGATGTAAGTCCAACCCCATGCAAGTAAATAGTGGTATTAATATGTAGCTGTTAATACAGAACAGGTTCTCTTTTATGTGGAAATGAGCCCAACAACATGTGTAAAAGACTTGTGAATTATAAACTAAGCATGTGGATGCAGAGAAGTAGAGTGAGGGAGAATATTAAAGCATCTCGCAATGCAATGTGATCAGTGTAATAAAACTATTGACTATGAACACTATTCTGCAAAACATCTTATGTATCATTAGTCTAAATTATTTGTCTAGGGGAGTGGTCCATTGCATCCAAAGATCTAAATTGCCATCCAGAGGTGCCTGTCAGTTTTCATGTGCCATAGAGACAAGATGCTGAACTCTTACGTAGCTTGGGTTAGGAAGGGGGAATTCTCCCCTTGATCTGAGTCAGCAGTGAAACAAAGCTCATATTCAGCTGTCCCTCTTGAGGCTGAAAGGCACTGAGTGGCGCCCATACACGCTGGCACCCCGTTCAGCACCACCAGTGCTGGGAAAATGGGAATCCAAACATGTTAAAAAGGAAGAAAGAAAGAAACAGAAACCCAGATTGCTGTAGGATTTGGGAAAAAGACCATGCCCTGAATTTCAGGACGACCCTGATGGTGATAGTGTGCCATGGGAGGGGACCAAAGAGGAACCCTATCTGGCCATGGACATGGTCTTGCACATAAGAAAGCAGGAAGGCAGCCCATGGTACTAGAGACTAAAACCCTGGCATCCCTGTCACTACTAATTGCAACTCATCAGCAAGTGCTAAGCTTCCTTTTCCATGGACTTACAGCACTGATTTCACTTTTTCTCTCCAACAGAAAACTCTTCCTGTGTTCCCTACAGCTGGGCAAGCCCAAATCAAAGTAATAAATCTAGGCTCTGCTAATGCAGCAGTTGAGTTTCAACCCGGACTTATGAACGTGACTGTAGAACCTCATGAGGCAGTAAGTAACGGAGGCGGGAAAAGCCGGTCAGAAAATCCCCGGGAAGCAAGTCAAAGGTGTTCCTAACTAACAATGCAGCGTTCCCCACAGTTCTCCCCTGCCCTGTGTTTTTAAAATGTTTCTGTCCTGCTGTGGTGGGAATTATTACTGAAAATGCAGAATGAATGAAGAAATAGCAACTAGTTCAATATTTTGCATAATACTTGTATGTCTTAGGGAAAAGGGATTTTTTTCAAAAAAGCTTTTTAAAAAACTTAGATTATTTTAAAAAAACTAAAAAGAATATCATTTTGCAAAAAAAAGCTACTTTTTTAACACCAAGAACACCGTTTAATGCGAAGAAAATTACATTCACATTCAGCTCTAGTAAATCACTGTTCTTATTGTAAGTAATCACATACTTGAACAGGGAGGTTTTTCTGTGCTTATATAACATACTATGTTTCACAAAGAGCTAGTGCGGGTTCTTTAATACTTCATTAATATACTTATTAATGCTTTAATAAGTATATTATACTTTATTCTAATGAAATGTATTTAGGATATTTTAAATACCCTAGTAACAGTCATTTCTGTCATGCTGAAGCCACAAACCTGCAATTTGGGATTGCATCCCTTGGAAAGCATTGCCATTAGTAAAATGTTGCCTCCTAGTCTGTCCTAGTGCTGTCCTGGTAATGAGACAGAACTTTGCTCTGCAGTGGCGATAACTCTGGTGAATCTGCTGCCATAAATGCACATGCACACAGGGAAAAGTAACAGCTCTTCCCATAATGCTTGCAAGAAGCTCATGCTATTTTGAAATTCATGTAAAGGAAGGAAATAATTGGGTATTGATGCAAGAAATTAATGTTTGATGTTTAAATTATAGCAAAAATGGAAACAAAGAGGCATGTGATCTCTGGTACCTCAGAAATAGTGAGATTCTCTCAAAGGTGTAGCCAAGCTTGCAGTTTCATGGAAATTCACTTCTTTTTTTTTTTTTTTCCTTTAGTCGGACTATATGGTATTTAAGACTTCTGAGTTAAGCAGTGTATCTGTAATGTTTGGAAATCAAGCTACAAATGCAGGGATGGACTTACTAGATGGTAAACGTCAGACTCTTGCTGTTAAGAATGTTGGAACAACCATTGTAACTGAATGGGTAAGTTTGTTTAAGTCCTAGTAATTTGTCAGTCTCTTATCCGCTGTCTTGTCCAAACACAGACTGTGTGAAGCTGAGAGGAGTAATTCAAGGTAGATTTTATTTTGTTTTGTTTTCTGCTATTTTCCCCTGGGTGTGCTTTTTCACCTGAAGAAAACCATATTGGTGAGACTGGAGAGGGGAGAGAACAAGTCAGGCTGCTGTGAAAATGTTAATATTTAAGTTAAGCCTTAGTGAAACAGTCACTGTGGTTTTCTTATAGCATTTTCTAACAAACATGTCCTAACAAAAATCTAAAAGGAGGTCTGGAGGCCTGTTCTGAAGCCTCTATTTTTTCTCATTGTATATAATATTGCACGCCTAAATTGTTCACTGATGCCATCAAAATGTCTGTGTGATTGTCTCTTCCACCAGCTGCATGACAATATCACATCAAAACCAGAAGAAGGAAATAATCTCATCAGGTAAAAGTTGTGGGGTTTGTTTTTATTTTTTCCCTCCTACATCTCCCAGTGGTGTGACACAGTCTCTTCAGTTTGCCCCTGGGGTGGACCCTTCTCTACAGTAGGAAATCTCCAGTTGCCAAACACCTCATTTGCATGTGTAGGGGAGCAGGGACTTCCAGGGCATGATCCATCTGGCCTGTCTAGTTTATCTACCTTTGGTTTAAACTAGCCGAACCTTGGACGTGCGTATTTCACTGTGTTGTCTAGCTGCCAGCTGATAAAACCAAACCAGAAAGATTTAGTACCTGTTGGGCTGCCAGTATATGATATAAAGAATACAGGATTGATTTCTAATATTTTATGAAATACTAAGCAAAATATGTATTACTGTTGTTGTATTTTAAAGATTTCTAAACAATATGGATCAGCCAGTCAATGTCAGTATGGCTGGCACTCACTTTGGATCCCTGCCTTCTCTGTCTGCCAGTAATTATGAAGCCTTTTCAAGAGGAAGGTAAGCATTTCCGTATTTTAATTCCAACACTTAGACATATACACATACTTGTCCTTGGGAAGATGGCATTGCATTTGTAGTTTTATATAATGCACACACATGCTTTATACCTGTAGGCTAAACCTTTTTTTTTTTTCTTCAGTAAAAAAATTACTGCGAATACAACCTCATTTTCTTGTGAAGTTTCCTCAAAGACGTTTGGATTTGGCAGTGCCTATACAATTGTAATTAATGGGGTGAGTTGCCAGTGCTGTTGAAAGTGCAGAATTACTTTCACGGTGATATTTTCTTTGATTAAAAGAACAATTTGGCTGTTGTGCAACTATCCCTCTTGCCCTTGATAAGATACATGAAAATTCTCTCATATCTATAAAATTGTCTGAAAACAAAAACTTCATTAGTTATACAAATAATCATGGCTTATGATAATGATATAGTGTAAGACCTCATGACTGATGGCTTTAAATCTTTAGCCCTTCTAGACATTAAGGATTGGTATGAATTCTGCTACTAAGTCATCGGTACTTTATAACTCAGTATGTTGTGTTAATATAAAATATTGATAATTTTTTACTTTCCTAGCATTGTTTTATGTGTATATATGATTATATAAATGATATAAACCTGCTTAGAATACCTTTAGAGTACAGAATTTTTATCACTTTCTAATGTGCCATTTTAACAATCATTGCTACAGTGTTCTGGAAACTTATTAAACACAACATATGTTGAAGATATTCCGCCCAACACAGTCCACATGGCTTGGCAAATCCCCCAGTATTTTATTCTTACATGTGCTGAAGTAGTTTTCTCTGTCACTGGACTGGAGTTTTCATACTCACAGGTAGGCTTTGCTCTTCGAAGCTCTCGTTGCATTAAGAGTATGAATGAATGAAACTATTTTCTGTGGTTTATTCTGTGGTTCTTTGTGTGATGATTCCATGTTGCTCCTTTGAACCACAATGCTCTTTACAGCCCCCGAGCAGGACTGCAGGCTGGCACAATTTGGCCTTGTTCGCTGGCATTGTTGGTGTCTTCTGAGGAGCCATGGTGACTTACACGGAACCATCTGCAGACTTGACCAGCAGTCCCCAAGTCCCCTTCTCACACAAGTGTCTTTCCACTGAAAATAAGTGGAACCATACTACTGTTGTAAAAACAAATGGGAAGGCAAATATACGGAAGGTGCTAGTACTTGTTCACTTTATCTCCATATTGAGATTGCACTAGTTTAATTCATTTTTCTTCCCATGTGATCTTTTGCAGAAATTTAATTATGTACTTTTAGTACCTTTTTCCTCTGACTTTTCAGGTTGTCTCATTAGTTGTGTGTGTCTTTTCCTTTAACTCCTGATTCTACATACAGGAATGGCTGAATCATTAGAAGATACAGTTTACCCCACTATGGTGCACTCAGATTTCTCCCTTTAGTGTGTACTGTGAGATGTAAAATGTGCATGTTAGTTCATTGTGCATATCAGCTGCACAATGTAAACACTGTTTAGCTACCACTGGAAACACAAAGTACCTTCTTTCCACAGGCCCCATCTAATATGAAGTCAGTGCTGCAAGCAGGATGGCTGCTAACGGTGGCTGTTGGTAACATAATTGTCCTAATTGTGGCTGGAGCATCCAAACTCAGCGAGCAGGTAAGGGCATGGGCCACGAGCAGGCTAGCGAGCTCCACTGCGCTAGCAGGCAGAGGAGAGTCCTCACTGATCAACCTCAGAATCACAGCTGCTGAGCATCTGCTGATACAGTGGGATTTGTATTTGTACCTAGTACATGTGAGAGATTAAAGCATTAGCTAGAACCAGGCAGTTTGTAGAGTTTAAGTTAGACTGAACAGCTCCATTGGAGCACATAAATAAGCTTATGAATCTGAATGAACTGTAAGGATGAAACCAGTGCTGAATGTTGTGACAACGGATGGGGAACTTGACACTTGGAGCTTCTTCTAAAGATGTGGCTGGACTTCTTCCCTGCATGTCTGTGTCCCCTCTTCAAAAAAAAAAAAGAAAAGAAAAGGAAATTAAGCAACGCTAGCAAATGCTTCTTCAACAAGAGTTCCTACCCCTTTGTCTATTGCTTGTCATTCCTGACTCTTGCTTGATCTGGTGGCTTCTCTTGCAAGCAGTAGTTTCTGGCATCTCTACAATAAATTGTTTCCTGTGGTGTGGGAATGCTCAAAATCCAGGAGTTCAGCCTAGACACACAGGGGTAAAGCCTTGCTAAAGCTTTTCCCACCAATGAAGCTTCACCTGTGTACCTCAGCCTTGCCAGTCCCTTCTTTATCTGCTGTCTCCACTGATTTCAAACCTCACACCTCAGCCATGAAAACCATGGTTCTCCCGATCAATAAGACTTGGAAAGATTTCCTTAGACTATTTGTGACGCTTCTTATTGAATCAAGAGATATGCTACTTGAGAGACAAAAGAGCCCATCTTTGAAATAGGACTGGAGTTCCTGACACCTGCAAGATTAATCATCAAGAGCATAAAACAGAGCAGTTAAACCTTTTCAGGTGGACAGAGCACTCTGAAACTAGAGTTTCTAGTCTCACCGTATGCTCAGCTTTGCTGACAATAAAAAAAAGCCTTTGCCACTGCATTCGCAGAAGAAGGATCACTGCCAGCCTGCTTTAAAATGAGGTTATCATCTTACTCTGGAAAGAGGAGTTGAGGTTCCTCTTTCATCTTTCAGTACTGCTCCCCGACTTCTGGGACAAGAGCCCTGTAAAACTCTTCAGCATTCACAGGACTTTTCTTGCTTTTCAATCTCATACTTAGTCCATGTTTAAGTTATACAGTATTTGAGTGTGCTCACAGTTCCACATTTGAACTAACTCTTTTTTCTTTTTTTCTTTTTTTTTTAGTGGGCAGAATATGTGCTCTTTGCTGCCTTGCTGTTGGTGGTTTGCGTTATTTTTGCTGTTATGGCTTATTTTTATACTTACATTGATCCAAATGAGATTGAAGCCCAGCTTGATGAGGATGAGAAGAAACAAGCCAAAAAGGATAAAGACCCTGAAAATGAAGCTGAAGCTGTCTCTCGGATGTAAAATGTGTATTCAAGGAGTGTTGTAAACTATGGTATCCCATTAACTGGCTTTGCAGTAAGAGGAACTGGGGTATCGGCAATGATGTCTGGATAAACTCTCTATTGGGAGAGATTAAGAGAAACTGTTCTAACTTTCTAACTTAAAATGCAGCCTCTCTTGGGAAGCAAAGGGAAAAGATTAGTCTGTCTTGTACAGAACATGGTGCCCTGAAGAAACTGCAGCAGAGTTTGCACTCTTAAAATGGACCTCAAGCTTAAATACCAAAGCGTTAAAGTACTGAAATTGCACTCAGCACTGTTAAACCCTGTGAAAAGATGTATTTTTATAATGTATTTCATTTTTTTTATCATGAAAGAGGCAGAGTTGCCAGTAAATAGTAATTGAAGCCAAGCTGTCTGCATGACCCCTGTAGTCCCACTGTTACTTGAAAGGTGCAGGTCACGTGCTTTGAAAATCCATTTGCGCTTCCTTCTGGACAGCGGGAGCAAAACTCCAGGATCTCCCCGCTCAGAATGCTGTCTGTGTTCCACGTGGCAAGAATCAGGACACGCAGAGCATCACGTAATATTTTATGTGTCCATTAATATGAATAAGTGCAATAGCAACAGCAATAAAATTCACCGTAACAAAATACAGGAAGTAGCGGCTTTTCTTTAAGAGAAGAAAGGGAGGGTATGACGTATGTGACAATAAGTTTAGGTCACTTCTGGCCTTCAACGGGACTTCTGATATTTCTTGCCTCCATCCTCTGTAGATGCCAGATGAATGGCCACAAAACTAAGGCCTAAAAGACCAATCCCAGCCTGGCCCACTCCTAAACCTCTTCTGTCCACAGGAGTCTTTGCAGGTCGCCCAGACCTGCACAGCCAAAGACTACGTACATGGTGCAGCCTCTCCCGCTGAGGTGCTGTGCGGTCCTCTCGTTTTTGGATCCCACTGCAGTGTCTCTCACCTAGACCTCCATGTACACACACGCGCGTGCAGAATAGAGGAAAATAACTACTTTAAACGGGGTGTAATAAAACAGGACAGACTGAGCTGATTGCATGTGGGGCAGGGCCAGATGAGGGGCTAACCAGCAGCTTTTTTATACACAAGCGCTCCTTTTATCCCCTTATTCTTCTGTTTTCCCACATTCATTCCTCTCCAAACCATTGTGTTCCCTCCGGCTGCCTGCTCTCGGTTCCTCCTCCAAACATCCCATTAAAAGCCTTGTACAATCCTGCCATGCTCTTCCCTGCACCCCTGTGAGGCCTGTCCCGCCCCCAGCAGCAATCCCGCTCGGTCTGTGAGGTGATGGGGGAGCCTCTCCCCCACCTTGTGGTGCTGGTGCCCCCCAGCCTTTGGGTGATGCTCGGCTAGGCCAGTGCTGGGAAGCCAGGACCAGGGCTTGTGTCTCCGAGTACATTTTTGGGTGCCCCTGCCTGCTCCTGTGTCCTGGTGCTCCTTCATGTAAAAGATGAGCCTTCCATCATGTAGCCTAAGGAGATGGCGCACTCTTTTTGGGAGGAGAGGTGGGTCAGGGGGCACAAACTGGTTCTGCTCTTAACTTTGTAACCTTCATAGCCGCTGCCGTGGGTAGCAGCTCAACTAGGCATAGCCAAATCACCGGCGACCCTCTGTAAAGGGTTGTTTTCGACGAGCCTCAGAAGCAAAGCTTTTTGTCAACTTGTACAGATTGCAGCAACTAGTTGGTACTATTTGCTTTGTACTTACATATCAAACGTCGATTTGACTTCCTTAAGCAGTGCTACAGCTGCCACTGGATACCTCTCAAAGGAATCCTAATTAGTGCAGAACCTAAGGAAATAATCTGCTTTTGGCAGCAGAAATGCCCGAAGAAAAAAGATGATGTGCAATGAATGCCGAAATGGCCCTCAGAGCTTCTAAAGTAGCTGTAAGGAGGCTTCTGGGGTGAAAGTGGCTCTCCTTTGGGTAGCAACATTGCTGTATTTTGGAGAGGTGTGTGTGTGGAGGAAAAAAAATGGAGCTGAGGATGCAGTGTAGCTATAAAAGGAAAAAAAAAAAGATGTGGGAGCTAGGAGATAAACAGAGCAGGGCAATACACTGACTGTCTATTCACTGTTGCAACCCCTCATTTGATCTTCTGCTCTTAGTGGCACATAAAACCCTCATGGGATTAAGATGACGTCTCAGCCGTCTGCTTGTGTGAAATCTGTGTTTGTCCTCCTCCCTTTGGATTTAGCTGACTGAAATTTATGTTGCTGGCAGAGCTTCTTTCCACCATAGACCATAAAGGGCTTTTCACTCCAAACTAAATATTCATCCCTTACAGTTGAGAAAAACATTTTATTTGATTCTGATAATCTTATGGTTTTTAAATCAGTGCTTCCGGAGCCCTGTTGTGTTTTCCTGGTAGTAAAAATTGGAAATGTCTTCTACTTTAATGAGAGTCCTATTTCCTAAAGGTCGTACCTTACAAAGATGCTTCAAATAAAGGTTAATTAAATCAGTGCAGCTCCTTCAGGCTGGTACTTTATTCCAACACGGTGCCTTAGATCAGGTTGATAAACACATAACCAAACTGATGATACTGAGCACATTTGTACTGAAATCTGTTCCCAAATGTGGGATGGGAACAGGGAGACAGCTCTGCTCCATGAGTCTACCAAGGCTAGAACTGTCAACATCCCATGTTGGCAAGGTCTGGATGAGCACCAAATGCAGAAGAGGGGGACACATGAGAAACCGAGCATGGAAGTGAGTGGAGAGAGAGAGAGGATAACACGCTTCTACACTGGCATCTTGCACCTCTGCTGTGATACGGGACATAGGGATGTGAGATTAATGATTAGGTTCTTGAACCCTGCAGGAAGCCAGAAGTTAGTGGTGTAGATCCTCTCCTCTTCCTGGCCGGGACCAAACTGTCCACTCAGAGATGACAATACTGTTTGAGCTACAGGAGCCCACACTGCTTTTTTGTATTGTTTTTGCTGTTTGGGCACTTTTATTGTATGCATGTAAGTGTGATTCACCATTTTGCCACTGAACAGGTCCAGAGCAAATGGCTGCCCCACCACTGAATGACTCTATGTGCAGCACAAAGCTGATGAATTTGCTGTCTATCCTAACCCATTTGTGGGACACAGCTCTGAGGTGCTGCTCTGTGCCAGCTATTTCTGGCTCAAAGAGCTTGGGCCAACTAGGAGAAATTAGACAAGCCCTGAGCCATCTCTGAGCTGTCCTGAGGCAGCCCTTGGAATACAAGAGATTTATTTGCTTTATCCGGACTGGGCAGCTTGTTCGGTGTTTGTGCAATGTAGCTCATGTCTGTGATTACAGAGTCTAGGTGATACTAAGAGAAATATTTAACATTTACCTACCATTATGTAACTCTCCTTGCCCAAGCAAAGCTTTCCTAAAACTCTTCCTATCTCTGCAAAACCAAACACTGACATTGTTGATCAGCCTGTGATTTATCTAATGTCAGATCAGGTCCATGCCACATCAGATCTCTTCTGGCATGGATCTGAGTATCACTTTTAACCACCAGATGGCAGAAAAATACCCAAGAGTTGCTGAACAGGGTGAGGTACCGCTGGGTCTGATCCAGGCAAGAAAACCCACTAAGATCGTTTCACAACGATTTTTTTAAATCAGACACAAAAAGCAGACACAGAATCAGACACAAAAAGCAGATGATGAGTTCAGTAAAGCTGATGAGAATCTTTCCGCTGTTATCAGTGTGCTTTGCCTGAGCCGCTGCGTGCACGCAACACCACCAGTTCACCGTGACCGGTTTGGGCAGGTCAAGCACTTCAAGCCCTGGTCCTCTTCTCAGGAGAAGAGAAGAGAAAGCCATGGCTTGGATATGGAGTTCAGGAGGACAATGTCATTGGGGTTGCAAGAAGGAGAATGGACAGAACTGCAAGGAGATGCAGTCGCAGTATTAAAATAAGAAACTGGAACCTGATCCAGGAAAACCATGTGGTGAGTTCTGCACACTATATAGAGCAGAAATTTGCATTCAGCCCAAGTCAGTCTGTGCATGAGGCATTTAGCAGGGTCATCTCTGTATTTCTTGATGGGTTCAGAAGATACAGAGTCAGTATAGGTAACTCTTGGTAGCAGATTATGGGCCTAAATTGTGTATTTCTTACATAAACCTTGTCAGAAAATAAATGTAAGCCTGTATGGATGTTTTGTTTGGGCTTTCCCTCTGGCCACTTTTGGAAGTAGTTGCAGTGCTGAGGTAAGTCCTGCTGGTCCTAGGGGGAGGGGAAGCCTCTGCAGCTCTGCATGAACAGGCAACATTAGCACAGGCGTGCACAAGTAGTTGCAGTGCTGAGGCAAGTCCTGCTGGTCCTAGGAGGATGGGAAGTCTCTGCAGCTCTGCACCTCCACTACACGAACAGGCAACATTAGCACAGGCGTGCAGCCCTCATCTCCCCCTGCAACTTTTTACTTCTGAGCACACAGAAATGCCAGGTTCACATGGTGCAGCAAAACCTGCACTTCACACAATAAATACCCACTTCAGGTTATTCAGCTGGGTATCCACTATGGGTGCAGGTAAAAGAGATGGGTTAAGTCCGCCACTGTCCCTGGGAAGTTGGCTCTCCTGGAAGAGGTTGGCAGGGACTGAGTTGGCAACTGCAGAAGGCAAAGGAGCCCGGCCCAGCTTTGAGACCTTGGCAAAGGTCCAGGGCAAGTAGGAGGTTGCAGAAGATGCTTGCAACTGAAAGGAGGTCAGCAAGAGGAGGTAGAAGTTTGCTGGAGCAATTACAGCTGGCAACTGTCCCACGCACACACGCTGTGGGGAGAGTGGTAGGTTCAAATGTTGGGAAACAGCCTAAAAATGGCAATTTATTTTCCCAGAGGAAACACTCTTGAAACATCAAACTCTCAGTTTGGGGATGATTTCTGGGTTTTCACTCCTGTGTTTTAAATTCCTGGGGCTGGGAATATTGCTCTTCCTCAACACCAAGAACCTCTGCTCATCTGTGCTGGCTGCAACAGATCCCTTGGCTGTTTTTTGTACCACACTTCTGAAAGACTGACAGCCTTAGATACACAGCTCTGGGCTTAAACCACTAATAGGACCATTCACTGGTGTGAGCTGAGAAGACGGATTCTGTGGTATCAAGGAGATGGAGCGAGCAGTCACTCAGGACATCCCAGAGAAGCTATACTCTATGGCCCATCTGAGCTAACCACAGGCTGTGTGATAGAGCTCTGCCAGTTGCCCATGGTCCCACTGCTGCAGTTCAGAGGCTGTGTGATGGCCCAGAACCTTACCCAGCAGAGAGTGGATGCATTTCCTGGGGGATCCAAGAACTGCTCCAAATAACCAGGCTGGCACGTGATTGCTAATGCAAGGGAAGGAGCTGGGGCAGGGAGAAAGGGAGAGCCGCTTCAGCGCTTTAGTAGATAAAACTGGTAGATGTGTTGAGCATAGCATGAACCTGCAAAAAAGACCAGCACATTGTAATGATTCGCACTGATTAATAACATCCCAGGCTCATAATTGCAACCTGTAGCCACCCATGCATTTCCATGTGCAAAGGATGAATGCAATAAACTTTTGTTAACATTTTACATACGGCTTCTTATGTATCCCAATAAAAATACAGGGCTAAAACGTGACAATTCTTGAATGAAGGCGGTACAATTCAAATCAGCTTCCCAGTTACCAATAAGATGATAGAGTGCAACTTGTTCTGCAGGGACAACCCTAGCCTGCAAGCAAACACTTTAGATCTGCAATGAAATATGTTGTCTAGGGACATAGCTATAGGTTAGAGCATCTCATCACAATTACAGGGTCATCCTTAATGGATCTATTTGGTTTGGAGATTTTGGTAGTCTGTTGGGTACATAGATATTAGTCTGAGTTAAGAAGAACTGATGTCTTCATTATAAAATCTGAGAAGAAGATATAGAAGGTATATTTTCTTCTGTTTGTGTGTGTGTGTTGTTTGTGTGATAAGAGGCTGTGTTCCTTGCAAACCTACAAAAAAAAAAAAAAAAGGTGTGCAAGAACCAGGTTTTAGTGAAATAAAGCTCTTTGGAGGAAGGAGCATAGTACAGTATGATCACCTCATGTTCCTTAATGAGCCCTAGGTCCTCATCTAATTTCAGTTATTTGCCTGGAATATAGAAATACTTTCAGGCACTTACATTCTGCTCATTATTAATGAAGGACATACGACATGCAAATGTAACGTTCCTTCCATTTCTTGTTTCATCTTTGCTCATCCATTATGATTCTCAATACTATGAGAAAGTGAATTTTCATCTATTAATAAGAAACCCAAGAACCTGCAATTTTATATGAAACCACAGCACTTCAGGGAGTGAAATACATGTAGAATAGCTTGTTTTATACAAATAAATCAAACTCTTGATCTTTTCAGAGGAAAAAAACATTCATAACAGATCTATTTTTTTAACTGGCATTCATGAGCCTTTAAAAATATCATTGGTTTAGCTGCACACTGTACCTCAGTAATAAACAAAGTCTTTTTCCAAATAGACAGACTGTTGTATCAAAACTTGAATGAACACTGCAGTGCTGTTGAGATTGGAAGGGACCTTTGGAGTTCATCTAGTCCAAACCCCCTGCACAAGCAGGGTCACCTAGAGCACATTGCATAGGATCATAGAATCATAGAATCATAGAATCATAGAATGCTTAGGGTTGGAAGGGACCTCTAGAGATCATCTAGTCCAACCCCCCTGCACACGCAGGGTCACCTAGAGCACATGGCACAGGGTGGCATCCAAGAGGGCTTTGAAGATCTCCAGAGAAGGAGACTTCACAACCTCTCTGGGCAGCCTGTTCCAGTGCTCTGTCACCCTCACACTAAAGAAGTTCTTCCTCGTGTTCAGGCGGAACTTCCTGTGCTTCAGTTTGTGGCTGTTGACTCCTGTTCC